TACGTCCATGCTATCCCACCAGGTATCTGAGTCCCAAACCGACTGGGACCTTCAGATCCCTGGAGTCCTAGCAGCATACAGAATGGCTCCTCACGCGGCGACCGGATTCTCGCCGTTTTTTTTAATGTATGGCCACGAAGTTGACCCGCCTGTCGCGACTCAGCTGACATGTACCGCGCCGCACGCTAAATCTAAGTTGGCGGACCATGTTAAGTTTAACGTCCTCCGGTTGGCTGAGGCACGGGAGGCGGCCATGCAAAACTCTGCCTCGCGCCAGAAGCAAAACGAAAAGTTGCGATCGCGCCGGTCACACACGCACGAATGGCACCCGGGTGACAGAGCGTGGCTGCACTGCCCCCAGGTGCCATTGGCCACCTCGTCGAAGTTGTTGAGGCCGTGGAGGGGCCCCGTGGAAATTGTGCAGGTTATGCGGCCGCAATGTGTTCGCATTAAATGGGGGAAACGTCGGTGGTTTGTCCACCCTTCACGGTTGAAGCCGTTCTTTGCTCCACATGCTTCCTCTCCTGACTATGGCCGAACATGTGGGGGGTCCACTGACTTCGGGAGGGCGGGGTCGCCGTCTGCCTCTGATCCGCTACTAACTGTTCCATCTTCAGGGGTCCGAGGACTGATGCCCTCTCTGCCGCCAGCCTCCTCAAAGGAGGTCGACGCTGGCTCGTCCAGGATGCCGGTGCGCCGCACACCTGTACATTCACCACCTGCCGCCGACCCTACCGGGTCGGGCCCTTGTGACGGGCCCGCTGCACGAACACGCGCCAAGACGCGCCGGTTATTGTAAAGTGCTTTCCGCGCGCGTTCCGCTGCTGGTGGGCTCACTCACCTGTTTTTTTTTTCCTGTTGTGTGCATGGGGATGGGGAACCACGTTCGGTATATATGTTGCATTTTCGGGAAGTGGGTACGTATAGGGGACCGTCGGTTGTTGTTGTGTTGTTACACTTGTTCTTGTTATTGTTACGGTTACGAGGCACACGCGTGTTGACGGGGGTTAATCCTTATTCTTGGGGGTTGAGAAATTGTTGCAGCCGGGACGGCTGCGAGCTGTACAGGGGGGGGTGATGTAGGGGTTATTACGGGAGAAACGGCGGACGAGAAACACAGAGGTGTGTGCACTCACACACACGGGTGGACGCACCGACGTCCGCATCCGTGATCCCCCACGCCCCCAAGCCCTCTGAGGGGATCCCTATAAAAGGCGGGGAGCCAGAGAGCTCGAGGCAGTACAACACGAAGCTGACCAGTGAAGATCGAAGACTCGGAGATTAGGCCCTGGGACTCCCCTGTCTCGCTGCCCTTGTCAGGGCCGAGCTGGGTAAGCCAGCGGCGCGGCCCAAGAGCTCCCGGACCTCTGCCCTTGTCAGGGCAAGGCCGGCTTAGCTGGTGCCGAGATCTGTGCTTGCCAGGGCCAGATCAGTCAGCCTCCCGTAGCCCAGTAGAGGAGGACTGGGGAACAGGACAGAGGGCATAGTACTAGGGTGGGTTTCCCATAGTACGGGTGAAGGGGCCGTTACCCCTTCAACTATTGTGCCTGTCACTGAGTTAATAAACAGAGTGTGCCTCAACTCCGACCTCGTCTCCTCGAACTTACTACAAATAATACGCTTCCAGGCCGCACTAAGCCTGTAGCTGTCTGAGCGATTAAAGTTATTTCTGTTTCTCTCAATTTCAATCGATTCTCTAATTAGTCTTTGCCAGTAGTAACTAGTTTAACACAACACTTCCACGTTGTCAAAATCAATTGAGTGTCCCTGTTGGCATGCATGTTCTGCTACTGCCGACAGTTGTGTTTGTGATAGTTTCATATTTTTCTATATAAGAACGGGAGACACAGCAGAGCCTCACCATTCTGGCGAATTGCCCGATGATGCTGGATGCAATTACCAGCGAAACGTCGTACTCAAATTGTAAATGTTGTGGCTTCAACACACCGGTGGGCTAAAGCAGTGAACTATTTGTTTCTTTTTGTTTCCATTTTGACTGCTTGTGTTGTGGTTATTGCAAACATGATGCCTTGTATAATGGTGTCAGTTTTGTACCAATTTAAATGGTAAAAACCTACTATACGGTATTGACAGCGTTGTTGTTGTTTGTTTGTTACATTGGCGGCATTCCACCGGCGGCATCGGGGCCGGATTGAGGTTTATTGTAGGCCTCAGGCACTTCTGTTTCACAGGCCTTCAGTGGTAATGTTCTACAACTGCTACGGCTGCTAACTTCTGTTGCACAGGCCTTCAGTGGTAATGTTCTACAACTGCTACGGCTGCTAACCCATGTCACTAACTCCCTCCGCTGTCACTCGGATTCTTTCACGCGGCACTTGAAACTGGACGTGCGTCGTCGCTGCCGACACGTCAGAGGTCGCAGCCGGGTACCCGATACCCATACCCTACCCGATACCCGGCTACCCGTACCCGGCCGGGTACGGGTACCCATTTGCGACCCTGGTGTGGCCGGGTACGGGTACGGGTAAGGAATCAAAACCCGTTTGCGACCTCTGGTCTGCATACACTTTGCCAAGACTAGCGGTGAGCATTTAAAAATGCGCTGTTGTTGTCATCAACAGGATTGCGAAGGGCAATCCTCTTCCTCCTCGTCCTCCTCCTCCCGACGCGGTCGAGACGGAGGAGGCCGCCCCCCGGCAGATGGCGATAACGGCGGCAGATGCGTTGCAGCTGCAAGGCTACCTGCGCGCGATAGAGCGGCGGCTGGACCTGACGATTTCCCCATCGCCCCGACGGGCCAGGGCAGCGTGGGGACACGGGGAGAGCGGAACAGGGAGAGGTGGGGGAGGCGGAGAGGGAGGACGGCGGGGGTCTCCGGCCTCACACTCGGCCGCGGCGGCCGTGAGCAGAAGCCCCCAAGTGCAGCTCGGCAAGAAACACGAAGCGGCGGCGGCAGCAGCAGCAGACGACGAAGTGGAAGATTCCGGAGAAAAACAAGAAGAGGGCAAGGCCGCCTCTAGGAAGGGAAGGGCTGTCCGATCGGAGAAATATTTACCCATCTCAGTTTAAGTTTCCTTACTCTTTGGTTCTTTCGGTAAAGTCCCGTAGGTGTGAATACATATTTTTGTTTTGTTTTATTTTATTTCTACCCACGTGACTTTACCAAATGAATCAAAGAGGATGGATTCCTGCAGCCACGAAAGCTTCAAATCGCCTTTTAAGTTTCCTGTTGCGAGTTTAACGCCGAGCTATTCACAAATAAAGGTCTTCTCTTTGGGGGGTCAGATCTCGCGTGAGTTGTGGATGTGTCGTTGTGCCCCCCACCACCCGACATCAGATTCCCACCACTACAGTACTATACACTACACAACTATACACTACACTACTATACAGTACACTATACACTACACTACTATACAGTACACTACTATACACTACTATACACTACACTATACACTATAGTAATATACACTACAGTAATATACACTACACTATACACTACACAACTATACACTACACTATACACTACAGTACTAAACAATACACTACTATACACTACACTACTATACACTACTATACAGTACACTACTATACACTACACTATACACTACAGTAATATAGACTACACAGCTATACACTACAGTAATATACACTACACTATACACTACACTATACACTACACTACTATACACTACTGTACTATACACTACACTACTATACACTACACTATACACTGCACTATACACTACAGTATCTTCTTGGTTTTTTCGGTAAAGTCACGTAGAAGGGAAATAATAAAATAATAAAAATAAAACATAATAAAATAGTATTTAATTATGTAATATTATTTGTTTTATTTTTATTATTTTATTTTTTCCCTTCTACGTGACTTTACCGAAAAAATAAAGAAGATGAATCCCTGCAGTCACGAAAGCTTTAAATCGAAATATACACTTCAGTAATATAGACTCCACACTACACCACGTGACACGATGCTACCGGTGGAGGGGAGGGGCTGTCACGTGCTGGGGGGGGGTTTGAGGAATGAGGCTATGTGAGCCAATCAGGGGAGGGTGCGCGTGTCACGTGATCAAAGGAATCGCTTGTTTAGCAAACGATTCGCTTGCCCTCGAATCGATCTCCGTTGGATTCCAAGGAATCGACGTTACAAGCCTGCAGCACTTTTCCGGATCGACTCGAAAAGGGGAATCGACCATGAAACCACGATTCACGATCCACAGCTGTTGACTCATCTGCTCCAGCCGAGGCACAGACAATGCGACTACCACAACTACCGCACGTACCACAACTACCACACGTACCACTGCTACCACACGTACCACTACTACCACACGTACCACTACTACCGCACGTACCACAACTACCACACGTACCACTACTACCGCACGTACCACAACTACCACACGTACCACTACTACCGCACGTACCACAACTACCCCACGTACCACTACTACCACACGTACCACACGTACCACAACTACCGCACGTACCACTACTACCACACGTACCACTGCTACCACACGTACCACTACTACCACACGTACCACTACTACCACACGTACCACAACTACCGCACGTACCACTACTACCACACGTACCACTGCTACCACACGTACCACTACTACCACACGTACCACAACTACCACACGTACCACAACTACCGCACGTACCACTACTACCACACGTACCACTGCTACCACACGTACCACTACTACCACACGTACCACTACTACCGCACGTACCACAACTACCGCACGTACCACAACTACCACACGTACCACTACTACCGCACGTACCACAACTACCGCATGTACCACTACTACCACACGTACCACAACTACCGCACGTACCACTACTACCACACGTACCACAACTACCACACGTACCACTACTACCGCACGTACCACAACTACCGCACGTACCACTACTACCACACGTACCACAACTACCACACGTACCACAACTACCGCACGTACCACTACTACCACACGTACCACAACTACCACATGTACCACAACTACCACACGTACCAGTACCACCACACGTACCACTACTACCACACGTACCAGTACTACTAGAATTGGTACTACAACTAGTAGCGATCCTACTAGTACCGCTTGTACTCACACTACAACTAGTACTACTGCAAGGCCTACTACAACTAGTACTACCAGTAGTACTGCTAGTACGACTACTGCACTACTACCAGTACTACAGCTACTACCAGTACTACTACCAGTACTACCGGTACTACTACCAGTACTACAACTACTACCAGTACTACAACTACCAATACTACTGGTACTACTACCAGTACTACAACTACTACCAGTACTACAACTACTATCTGTACTACTACCAGTACTACAACTACTACCAATACTACTACCAGTACTACAACTACTACCTGTACTACTACCAGTTCTACCGGTACTACTACGACTACTGCTATCACTACTACCGCCTCTATATCTACGAAAAATACTGCTACCCCTACAACTACCCGTCAGTTACTACTACAACCACTACTCCAACTCAGGCAGGGGTGAGTCTATGGTGCAGTGTTGAGTCTGTGGGCAGTGTTGAGTCTTTGATGCAGGTTGAGTCTATGGTGCAGTGTTGAGGTCTATGGGTAGTGTTGAGTCTATGGGCAAAGTTGAGTCTATGGTGCAGTGCTGAGTCTGTGGGCAGTGTTGAGTCTGTGGGCAGTGCTGAGTCTATGGTGCAGTGTTGAGTCTATGGGCAGTGTTGAGTCTGTGGGCAGTGTTGAGTCTATGGTGCAGTGTTGAGTCTATGGGCAGTGTTGAGTCTATGGGCAGTGTTGAGTCTATGGGTAGTGTTGAGTCTATGGGCAGTGTTGAGTCTATGGGTAGTGTTGAGTCTATAGGCAGTGTTGAGTCTGTGGGTAGTGTTGAGTCTGTGGGCAGTGTTGAGCCTGTGGGTAGTGTTGAGTCTATGGGCAGTGTTGAGTCTGTGGGTAGTGTTGAGTCTATGGGGAGTGTTGAGTCTGTGGGCAGTGTTGAGTCTGTGGGCAGTGTTGAGTCTGTGGGCAGTGTTGAGTCTGTGGGCAGTGTTGAGTCTGTGGGCAGTGTTGAGTCTGTGGGTAGTGTTGAGTCTGTGGGCAGTGTTAAGTCTATGGTGCAGTGTTGAGTCTATGGGCAGTGTTGAGTCTATGGGCAGTGTTGAGTCTGTGGGCAGTGTTAAGTCTATGGTGCAGTGTTGAGTCTATGGGCAGTGTTGAGTCTATGGGCAGTGTTGAGTCTGTGGGCAGTGTTAAGTCTATGGTGCAGTGTTGAGTCTATGGTGCAGTGTGTATAGTACAAATCCTTACGCCATGATCCGATGTTCCAGTGTGCAGGTGACGTCACCGGTAGAGGCGGTCTGCAGACGCCGTCGGAACGCCCTCCGCCGTAGGAGGGGGTCGATTCTCCGGTTCACTCATCCACCCACAATCATCCACTCACACCCACAATCACCCACAATCACCCACTCACACCCACAATCACCCACTCACACCCACAATCACCCACTCACACCCACAATCACCCACTCACACCCACTCACACCCACTCACACCCACAATCACCCACTCACATCCACAATCACCCACTCACACCCACAATCACCCACTCACACCCACTCACACCCACAATCACCCACTCACACCCACAATCACCCACTCACACCCACAATCACCCACTCACACCCACAATCACCCACTCACACCCACTCACACCCACAATCACCCACTCACACCCACAATCTCCCACTCACACCCACAATCACCCACTCACACCCACAATCACCCACTCACACCCACAATCACCCACTCACACCCATAATTACCCACTCACACCCACTCACACCCACAATCACCCACTCACACCCACTTACACCCACAATCACCCACTCACACCCACAATCACCCACTCACACCCACAATCACCCACTCACACCCACAATCACCCACTCACACCCACAATTACCCACTCACCCACAATCACCCACTCACACCCACAATCACCCACTCACACCCACAATCACCCACTCACACCCACTCACACCCACAATCACCCACTCACACCCACAATTACCCACTCACACACAATCACCCACTCACACCCACAATCACCCACCCACTCACCCAGTCACTCACCCACTCACACCCACAATCACACACACACTCACTCACCCAGTCACTCACACACTCACTCACCCAGTCACTCACCCACACAATCACCCACAATCACCCACTCACACCCACAATCACCCACCCACTCACTCACCCAGTCACTCACCCACTCACACACACACCCACAATCACCCACTCACTCACCCACCCAGTCACCCACTCACTCATCCACACACCCACAATCACCCACTCACTCATTCACCCAGTCACCCACCCAGTCACCCACTCACTCAACCACCCACTCACCCACCCACTCACTCACCCACTTACTCACCCACCCACTCAACCACTCAGTCACTCAACCACTCACCTACTCACCCACCCACTCACCCACCCACTCACCCAACCACTCACTCAACCACTCACCCACCCACTTACCCACTCACTCAACCACTCACTCAACCACTTACTTACCCACCCACTCACTCACCCACCTACGCACCCACTCACTCAACCACTCACTCACTTACCCACTCACCCACCCACCTACTCACCCACCCACTCACTCAACCACTCATTCACCCACTCACCCACCCACTCACTCACCCACCCACTCAACCACTCGCTCACCCACCCACTTACTCACCCACTCGCTCACCCACTCACTCAACCACTCACCCACCCACTTACTCATCCACTCACCCACCCACTCACTCAAACACTCACTCATCCACTCACCCACCCACCCACCCACTCACTCAACCACTCACCCACCCACTTACTCGCCCACTCACTCACCCACCCACCCACTCACCCACCTACTCACTCAACCATTCACTCAACCACTCACCCACCCACTCACCCAACTACTCACTCAACCACTCACCCACCTACTCACCCACCCACTCACTCAACCACTCACTCACCCACCCACTTACCCACTCACCCACCTACTCACTCACTCACCCACTCACCCACCCACTCACTCACCCACTTACACACCCACCCACTCACTTAACCACTCACTCAACCACTCACTCACCCACCCACTTACCCACCCACTCACCCACCCACTCCACCACTCACTCAACCACTCACCCACCTACTCACCCACTCACTCACCCAGTCACCCACTTACCCACCTACTCACCCACCCACTCACCCACCCACTTGCTCAACCACTTACTCAACCATCACTCAACCACTCACCCACCTACTCACTCACCCACAGGTCCGAGAGAGCCATGAGAGGAGGAGGAGCAGGAGGCCTCGGGCGGACTGGGTCACCCAATTTACGGAGGTGGTCACGCTCCACTCCCACGGCAGTCGAGCTTGTACAAGGTTGGCCGCCTGTCCGAACGCCCATGGCGTCAGCAGAGGCGTCTCCTCTCACCCGACCAGGAAGCGCCCCCCCCCCCCCACACTTTATGGACGCCGCTGGAGGAGCCGGCACCGCTGACGGGCACAGAGCCCTCGGGCACGGCGATCGACGCGGGATCAATCTTCACCGGGCCGGCGGTGGTGATGGGGTTCCGTTGAAGGCTCCGCGGTCGAGCTGACGGCAGCGCGGAACCCAGAGAGAGAGAGACGGCGAAGGGTCCCCTCAGGGAGTGATGTAGGATCACCCTCAGCGGGGGCCGATACCGCTGGATGCCATCGGAGCAGAAACCGCGCCAAAATCCCCTAGGCCCAACGGTAGAATCCCCGAGGCTGTAAAATGGCCGTGCCTTTCAGACAATGGCCTCACTCCCGTGAGCTCTGAAATCTTATTTTCAGCCCTAAGGCTGTCATTCCCACATTTAAGCACGAGTGTGGAGATGATTGTGTTCTCTAAGTAATAATTCTAAAGCAATTTTACTCAATTCCTAGTAATGTGTGTGTGCGTGGATTCCGTCGCGATATAGAATGTTTCCTCTGAGACAAATTCGAACTGTAAAAACATGCTTGAGTATTGCAATTACGTTTTCATTTGCAACAATTGTATCATCTGTTAGCATGTGCATTGCAGTGTCACCTTGAAAGTATGCTTGAATTCCAACCCTTACACGTCACAAAGTTTTGAACATGTACTTGTTATCGCATGTAAATGTACAATTTAATAATTCTGACAAGATTGTTGGCTTGTGTTGCCACTGTTCCTCTGACTATCACCGTGTTTTTTTGCAGTAATTTGTACACTGACATCGCTGTGCGTGACAATAAATTAGCCGTCTCTGTTCAGGGCTTGGTGTTGCAATGCCACTTTCCCCAAATTAGAAGTAGATAAACTCAACAATCCCCAAATGAGACGCGGATAACCAGAGTTTACCCGTATTTAGTAGCCTAACACATGGCGATGAACGTGGTTGACTACGTACGGTGTGAAAGACGTTCAGCATACAGAGAGACACGAAGCTATTGTGAAACCCAATGGTGTTATTCCTTTTCACTCACATCACGATGTGATACATCAATGTTGTCAGACTTAAATCAAATTTCATTATGTGTAGAGGAGTAAAATGGGGACGTGACGTCAGGTGTGCCGTTCAGTGCGATGACGTCACCTCTCCTAGGAGCACACTCTTAAAGTGAGTGCTCCTAATCTCAGCTTGTTACCTGTATAAAAGACACCTGTTCACAGAAGCAATCAATCAGATTCCAAACTCTCCACCATGGCCAAGACCAAAGAGCTCTACAAGGATGTCAGCGACAAGATTGTAGACCTACGTTTGAATGTTGAAGCGAGATTCATCGATGTCGTCACGACTGATAATACAAACCCCTAGACAACTAGAGAGCCAGTAACAAGTCGCGATACACTTTGTGCATAATCGCAAATAATCATAAACACAATACTCTTTGGTTCTTTCGGTAGTCACGTAGGTATGAAATAAAATGTGTTGCGCCCCAAACGTCGCGATTTATTTTATTTTATACCCCACGTGACTTTACCGAAAGAACCAAGAGTATGGATTCTTGCAGTCACGAAAACTTCAAATCACAATAATAACACAACACACATGAATGTGCTGTATCTCAATGGGGGCCTCATTGTTAAAGGTCATAAAGCAATAAATAAATCGCAAAGATCCGTGATACATTCTAGATTTGAAGCTTTCTTGACTGCAAGGATTAATATTCTTTGGTTTTTTCGATAGTCACGTAGGTAAAAAATTAATAAAAGTAAAATAAAAATCACAACGTTTCGGAGGCAACACAAGCTTCCGTCTTCAGGTGGAACCGTCGTGATTTTTATTTTATTTTACTTTTATTAATTACATTTTTTTACCTACGTGACTTTACCGAAAAAACCCAAAGATTATGACTATCCGTGATACAGTTCAAATCAATTCCATTAACACTTCCCAGCGACCTCAGACGGTTGAACAAAAGGCAGAAATTATATTAAAGCTCGTTAATAAATAATGCAATGAAATGGGTGGGTGGGTGTGATGTAAAAGCACACAGACAGGGGAGTGACATCCTCTTTTTATTACACGCTTTTATTTAACTCACTCAGTCTGTTGTATCCTCCAAAAAACATCTTCTCTAACTCAAATTTTACCCACTTCCCAATGTGCTATCGACTACAAACTTGCAATACCTGCGTCATACTGACAACACGATATTCTATCATAAAACATCCAAAACATATTTTTTAAACATTTTACACGCTTTTATTTAACTAACTCAGTCTGTTGTCTCCTCCAAAAAACATCTTCTCTAATAACTCAAATTTTACCCACTTCCCAAAGTGCTATCGACTGCAAACTTGAAATACCTACGTCATACTGATGACAACACGATATTCTATCATAAAACATCCAAAACATATTTTTAAACATTTTACACGCTTTTATGTAACTCACTCAGTCTGTTGTATCCTCCAAAAAACGTCTTCTCCAACTCATAATTTTACCCACTTCCCAATGTGCTATCGACTGCAAACTTGAAATATCTACGTCATACTGATGACAACACGATATTCTATCATAAAACATCCAAAACATATTTTTAAAACATTTTACACGCTTTTATGTCACTCACTCCGTCGGTTGTTGTATCCTCAAATCTTGAAACTCACTTTTAACCGTCTTCACAATGTCGTATCGACTGCAAACTTGGCATAGGTACGTCATACCGATGACAATACTATATTCTATCATTAAACATAACTTCAACATCCGCGAAGCTCCTTCTCAAGATGTGAAATATTCGGTGCCCTTGGCAGCTTTGCATCCCGGGTGAGCGCGCAATCTCCATTTCGCCCCCGCCCCATCAGGCGAAGTTCCAGTTGATTTTGTCGAGTCGAGCCTGAGAAGTCGAGAGACCACGAGGGAGTTGCGTTTGTCGGAGCGAGCGGCGGCCCCGATGTTCCCCAAAAATACGACAGCTTTATTGAGATACCCGATAAGCTCGTCCCTAGCTACCGACAGGCCATGTGACCATTCAGAAGAACTCGCAGAGCATTACAGGACTCCTCATTTATCCACGAGATTATAACATCGGAGGGGAACCACGGTGGATAGATGTTGATTACCTCTCCTGGTGTACAGGAGGTTGTGGGTTTGATCTCGACCCTGACGACGCCTGCTGCTGTATGTTTGGAGTTTGAGTGTCTCTCATCATCATGGTGGCTAGCAGATGTTGACTATCTCGCCTGGTGTACAGGAGGTTGTGGGTTTGATCTCGACCCTGACGACGCCTGCTGCTGTATGTTTGGAGTTTGAGTGTCTCTCATCATCATGGTGGCTAGCAGATGTTGACTATCTCGCCTGGTGTACAGGAGGTTGTGGGTTTGATCTCGACCCTGACGACGCCTGCTGCTGTATGTTTGGAGTTTGAGTGTCTCTCATCATGGTGGCTAGCAGATGTTGACTATCTCGCCTGGTGTACAGGAGGTTGTGTGTTTGATCTCGACCCTGACGCCTGCTGCTGTGTTTGGATTTTGAGTGTCTCTCATCATCATGGTGGCTAGCAGATGTTGATTACCTCGCCTGGTGTACAGGAGGTCGTGGGTTTGATCTCGACCCTGACGACGCCTGCTGCTGTATGTTTGGAGTTTGAGTGTCTCTCATCATCATGGTGGCTAGCAGATGTTGACTATCTCGCCTGGTGTACAGGAGGTCGTGGGTTTGATCTCGACCCTGAAGACGCCTGCTGCTGTATGTTTGAAGTTTGCGCATCTCTCTCCCCATGGTTGTGTGGATTTTTTTCCCGGCACCCTGCGGCTTTTCCCCTCCATGTGCATTGGCCGCTGCTATAAAAGTCCACGTGACAAGCCACCTCATTCGGCGAGGTCGCTTTCGGAAAAAAAAGACCTCTCTATCTCAGTGGGCCTTGCCTGGTGAAATATATAGTAAACAGTTAGTAAGTCACATGACCAAGACGTACAATTCCGCAGGCTGCAATTGACAAGACCCAGGGGGTGGCAGCCTGACGCGTCGGAGCTGCATGCGGCCCTTTAAGGACTGCTTTGTGACGTCATTCATCACGTGCATTGAGGCTCTTTAAGGACTGCTTTGTGACGTCATTCATCATGTGCATTGAGGCTCTTTAAGGACTGCTTTGTGACGTCATTCATCACGTGCATTGAGGCTCTTTAAGGACTGCTTTGTGACGTCATTCACCACGTGCATTGAGGCTCTTTAAGGGTTGCTTTGTGATGTCATTCATCACGTGCATTGAGGCTCTTTAAGGACTGCTTTGTGACGTCATTCATCACGTGCATTGAGGCCCTTTAAGGACTGCTTTGTGACGTCATTCATGACGTGCATTGAGGCCCTTTAAGGGCTGCTTTGTGACGTCATTCATCACGTGCATTGAGGCTCTTTAAGGGCTGCTTTGTGACGTCATTCATCACGTGCAAATAGGCTCTTTAAGGGTTGCTTTGTGACGTCATTCATCACGTGCATTGAGGCCCTTTAAGGGTTGCTTTGTGACGTCATTCATCACGTGCATTGAGGTACAGTTCTCGCAATCATCCATAAGTGAGTTTTGCCGGGAGAAAAGCGCCGAGTAGTTAAGAGTTGAGTTCTTGCCGAGGCAGACTTAAGTATCGCTGAAAGTTTTCCTCGACGCTTTTTCATTTTCGAGTCACTTGCAGATAAAGGACTTGGAGAAGTCGTACTGCACTGAGCTAAGAGTTGTGAGCTGAGACGTGGAACAGGTGGAGATTTGAGTCGTCGCACACCGATAGTGCCCGAGCGACAGGCTGTAAAAGTTGTTGGTTAAGCCCAGTGACTTGACGTTGTATTTGGTGGAGAGGCCAGGGGAGAGGGGGGGGTCACGTGCAGGCTGCTGCTACAGGCAGCGTGCTGGGCCCGACACGCCACGTTTGAATGTTGAAGCGAGATTCATCGATGTCGTCACGATTGACAATACAAACCCCTAGACAACTAGAGAGCCAGTAACAAGTCGCGATACACTTTGTGCACAATCGAAAATAATCATAAACATACATATTAGTCAAGAATATAAATCACAACAATAATACTCTTTGGTTCTTTCGGTAGTCACGTAGATATAAAATAAAATGTGTTGCGCCCGAAACGTGACTTTACTGAAAGAACCAAAGAGTATGGATTCTTGCAGTCACGAAAACTTCAAATAACAATAATAACACACACAACAAACACGTTTTTGTAATGACACATCTAACATTACATTGCACAATCAACATTTCTGAAAACTTTCGAATTTTCACAATGCAATTATGAAAATTACAATGGGTCTCTGTGGGAGTCTATGGGTCTCTGTATGATGAGTTTACGGGTCTTTGTGTCTATGGGTGTTTGTGAATCTATGGGTCTCTGTGTGACGAGTCGATGGTCTCTGTGGTGAGTCTATGGGTCTCTGTATGAGTCTATGGGTCTCTAAATGATGAGTCTATGGGTCTCTGTGGTGAGCCTATGGGTCTCTGTATGAGTCTATGGGTCTGAGTATATGGGTCTCTGTATGACGAGTCTATGGCTCTTGAGTCTATGGGTCTCTAAATGATGAGTCTATGGATTTGTGTGATTAGTCTATGAATATCTGCGTGATGAATATATTGGTCTGCGTTATGAGTCTATG